TATTAGATTCAGTATGCGCCTCTTATGCTTTCATTTCACGCATATTTTTTTCAAAGAACGTATGCAAATTTTTAAATGTTTTTTTTTAAAAAACCATATCACCTATATTAAAAAAGTAACAGAACTGTCCACATATGTGGACACCATGCATGACAATGTGCATTCAAGCTTGCACTGACTCCACCAGTTTGTGCAAAAGCCTCCGTTGAGTAGATAAAATTCCCCTGAGAGCTGTCTGATCACATACTTCAGTTGGAGAGATATGACTAAAAAAATCTGACCTTTTTGTTGGCCTTTACAAAAAAGGCCTACAAAGGCCTTTTACGTGCTCAGTGTCACACATTTGCTCAAATGTGAACAGTGACCTAGAAATAGTACAGAATCAAAGTCTTTCACAATTCTAAAATGTTCTATTATTTATTTCCAGATTTAAATGAAAAAAAAAGATTTTCAGTGTGGTTTCAGACATGTGGACTACACTGTATTTGAAAGCTTAATAATCTACACATCATACATTACAAATAAATCATAGGTCTACATGGGTGCATCTGATAAATCCCTAAATCTATTTAAGGATATTCATGCTAGCACTTGTACAGTGCTAGTGGCAAAAATATTAGCTAGACAGAAGATTAGTTTGCAGGCAATGATTCAGATTGAAGATGGCTCTTAATATATTCTGTGGTTCAGCATTATTCTGTGTATCTTTGCTTTTGAGATGTTTTTAAAAATTAATTCTTAATAAACAAATTAACAATGCAAAGTTCTTATTACTGTGACAACAAATATCTATAAAATTCTTAATACCATTATTCATCCTGTAAAATACACAGCTAAATAATTTTATACCAATGTAGATTAGAAACAAGTAGCCCATAAAGCAGTTTTCATCATTCTTAACATCAATGTGAATCATAAATAATTTTCCTTCCGTATCATGACGTAAGAGGTTGTTACACAACAGAGGCATGCGCATGAGCTTGATGATTCATCTCAAGTGTGTAAGCATGGTCTTAATTAGCTGTGAGGTCATCAAGGTCTGGACCTCAGTAGTTTCAAAAAAGTTTTTCACGCATCTCTTTTCATGAGATTATCAGCACCAATCTGATCATGTGGTCGCCTATGCTGGGCAGAGCCACCACAGGCCTCGCCAGTCAAATGGGAACAGAATATTTATCATGCCACATTTTTTGTATAATTAAATTTGATATGTTTTCTGTCAGTACCGTTACTGTATTGTGGCCAATTAAAATCTGGCAAGCTCTAAATGATTTGCTCAGCCCTCCAGTCACTACTTAGCAACTGTTTCTATCCACCATTGCTTCAACCCTTCAGTTTATTACCAGCGCTCATCATCTTCGAAAGAAGTCTTCAGTAGTTCAAGATGCTACACTGCCCAAGGTAACAGACTGACTTTGCCTTTTTGAGATTTTCAGGTATGCAGCACACATACTATAGGCTAACAGATGATACTTTGAAAAAAAGTTTTGAGGGTAATTAACAGACTATGCTTGTAAAATACAAACCTCATAAATCTTTTTTTTATTTGGACCACTCATAATGTTGCTAGCTAAATCAGCATGATCAGCTAAATCAGCATAGTTCCAGATGCTCAGTTTGCTCTACAGGCTCAATAATTGGCAATGCTAGCAATTGGAAGAAAAATTAAAGCTGTGTTATTACCTACTCACATCATATTACATGAGAAATGAGAATGTTCACTGTAGACTAACATTGATGGAATAGTATTATATAATATAATTAAGAAATCCGCATGTACATTTGACTGTATTTTGTCTCATTAACTGTATGAGTAGCTACCTTTCCTGTTAGCTGGGGTTTGAGACAGCCTTTTATAACTAATGTTTAATGTGTGATTTTTTCAGTAATCAGTGAGGGCAGAGATGTAAAAAAGGCAGACAGGGAGGGAGGGAGGGAGGGAGAGAGAGAGGGCGAGAGAAAGGTAAAAGAAATAAAATCAATGTGAAACTATCACCTGATTTAGTGTAGGTTTCAACATGTATTTTAAGCAGAAACCATGAAAATAAATAGTTACATGATTAATTTCAAATCATAATTTACTTAACACAATTGTTTTCCAAACTCTCTTTATCACTTAAACAGTCTATTGTTCCTGCTGTGTCTTAAATGGGCAGGGCTGAACTGCAGTTGGCTAAATAGGCATGTATGTACTTGATTTTGTATACCTTTAGCAATGAGTGTGGCTGAAACTCGTGAACACAACCTCCCTGGGGCACTACAGTTCTGCAAAGGGGCTCTTTCACTTCTACCTGATCCGTGAGCCATGTAAACCATTTGGAGTTGCCCTACAGTCACACCTGACACCCCAGTGCTCCCACTACAATCCTTCCACCTTTCAGACAGTTTGCTCTATCTGTCAGTCTACAATAAGTAGACCTATAATGCTATTTTTTTTTTCAGCTGCATCAGGCCCATCCAAACTGGCTCCTCCAGTTTTCCTCTTATACATTTTCAAATATAAATATTTATATTATGACTTGGCTGAATACTTGATGGTTATTATTTACTGAGAGATATGCATCCATATTGCAGAGTGCTCTCAGCTATTCACCATTTTTAATTCAATATTTAATCAACAGCCAATCCATTGCTTTCCATTTTGCATTAGTCCAAAGTAGTAGCTAAACCTTGACTTAGAAGCTAGATAATCATTCTCTCAATTTTAAAGTGATGTGCACCTATGAGGAGTGTGCCATAGCGCCCATTTATTGTCTGGACTGGTCTCCACAGAGGCTGCTGCTGCAAAGCATGAGTTTCATTTTGTGCATGCCCATATGAACACGTAAGTGTAACACTTCACACGATTTAGTTATCTTTTCCGGGCTGCAGTTTGTAAACATTACTGCCTGTTGGTGTTCATCAAACATAAGTAATAGTTTTATTTCACTCTCACTTTTGTCACAAAGTTTCAAGTTTCTTTTTTTCATGACCAGATGGATAGATTTCCACCGATTTTTCAAAATTTCTACATAATCATTCAGATCTGAAGTCATTCAGAGTGTTTTGGTGTGAAATGGTTAATTGTAGAGATATCTACACACTCTTTACAGACAAAACTGTCACTGGCATCAAACAACATATTTGTAACCATTTCTTATAATAACTTTCTGAGAGGGAGCCTTTAGAGGCATTAAACTCTTCAGACCTCTCACACTTACACTTTGGTGAAAAATAGTGACTCAAGTTTCACCAGATCAGAGTGTTTCACACCAAATCAATCTGACTGACTTTATTTTCTTACTTACATCTTAATTATGCAGAATTTGTTGAAAAATCTGTGGATTTCTCCTTTAAATTACTGTAGTTAGCCACGTTATGAGATCATGTTTCGCATTTTAAGTTTTAATGTTAAAGATGACCCATTTTCATGTATGACTTAGAGGAAACATCAAACTGTGCATACTGCATTATCAAAAACCACTAAAGCTGACAGAATAATAGAATCAAATATTAAGTTAAAAAAATCTGTCTAATTGCATTGCCACAACCAGGCTTAGTCATCATAGCATTATACTATTTTAGGAAAGCCCAACACGATCAAACACAGCATCAAGTGAGACAACTGTGGTGCTGAGTGTTTGGGAGGTACCATACGGTTAAAGGTATGAATACAACGACAGTCATACTGTGTGCTGATGAACTAGAGAAGGAAATTTTATAAAGCTGTGTTACTACAAACAATGATTTAGCCTACTACAACTTCTAAATGCTCCCTTCATTTAAAAGAAAAGGTAAATACGTTCAGTTTATTAATTGGGAAAGCCCATGGTATAGCTAAAATAACCCTCTGGCATTTTTGACCCATTGAATTACGTCTAGACACAGAGTGGTGAGAAATAGCCAGTGGGTGTTAACACATAACATACCATCTGAGGCATAAATGAGGATGACTCACAGACAAGTCTTTGATCGGGTCAACTGTCTGTTTTTAGGTTGCTCACAGTTCTCTTTTTTGCCACGTTTTACTGGAAATAAATAAGCGATGGCAAGATGACTAAAATCAGAGAGAAGCAAAGGACAGATAAACATTATGATAAGACAGAGTGTAATAGTACATGAGTGCCTATATCTACAGTTCAATCTTAGATGTAGATCTGATTAAATAAAAGGCCTCAGTAAAACCAAGCACACAGGATATAACTCTAACCATAAATCAAGAGCGTTTTCCTGTAGCATCTATTCAGTGCTTCGACTTTTTGCAGACTGGAGACCTCAGTTGTTTTACCTTTTTAAGCAGCCAGAGTTAATTAAGTGTAGGTATATTAAAGTGATTAGAGGTCATATATAGATGCTGTATATCTGTATACAGGCAGCAGTAGTGTTAGAGGCAGAATGAATTTGAGTATGTTTTTATGCATAAGCATTATGTGAAGGTAAACATTCCACTTTGTGGTTGATTTAAGAACAGCAAGTCAGATTCAACATTTTAATGTATTACTCAACATCATGATCATATATTATTAATATACAATACTTATAATATAATAATACTGCAAAAATCACCACCCTTTACTTCTTTAATTACAGTCAAAACAGCCATTAAGTACAAGTTAGTCGTTTTCAGTGCCTGAGGGGAAAAACAGAATAGTACACAAAGGCTTTAGCAACTAAACACAACATTATGTTTTCAGGATTTAGTGTGTCCACTTTTTACTTTTATTACAAATTCCATTCCTCGCCAGAGATATGCTTTTAGTTTTTCAAAGAAATCTGCAGGGATATTTTTCCACATCTCCAAAGTTCAGTCTTAGAAGTTGGTTGAATTTTCTGCTGCTCACTGTCCAAGTAATCCCAAACCTACTTGGTGATGTTGGGGCCTGGACTTTGGAGAGGTCAGTTCATTGTTCTTAGAACACCAGCAGCTTCTATGTTTAATTTGCAAATGTTCTTCTTCCTTTTTTGGCTACTTCCTTTTCTTCTTGAACAGCTACACATCCTTTCAGACGTATAGTATGGAGTTGTCTTTTCACAGTGGAAGGATGGACAGAAACACTGAAGCAAAAGTGGAGCTTGATTTTCTCCTCTCTCTCAAAGATGAAAGCTTTAAACACCGTTCCTCTGATTTTGATAGTTTTGCACAGATTGCACAGTTGTTAGGAGTCCCATTTTCTTTATATCATTTATTCCTTTTTGAACTCCTGTTTTGAAAATATCTTCTGAAAAAATGAATAGCTTGTATGTAATCCCTGTTTTGACTGGACATTAGATAAAAGTGGTAACTAACTTTTTACACTGAACCACATATTAGCCCAAACATTTCAGAAAGCTACAAATTTATTAACTTAAAAATAAAATCAACTTATATTTAAAGTAGGTTGGACTGGAGATGACAGAATAACAAAACTTTCCTTCTGTTAGTTACATATATAATTACATAAATACAATGATTTCCATTAAATGTGAAAATGTACAAACACCAACACAGTTCACTTCTTTATCTTCATCCTTGTAAATGTATACTAAGCTATACTTGGGGGAGAAAATTGCACATTATTGCATGTTCATGCTATTTGGTCATCATATAATGAGATGTTTACAGTTTTTTTTTGCCTTTTCATGTCTATATGAACATTCTCTGTGTCTTACATTCCCAGATCCATGCAGTGCAATGCTTGAATTCAAATTGTTTGCATGTTTGTATTAAAGTACCACAGCATGCAGCACAGTACCAAATACAATGTAAGACTTGGTATGTGTGGCTTCCTGTTTCAAACTTCTTTCTTTCTTTTTGTCTTGCTCTCTGCTGCAGGAGAAAAAAGTTTTTTACACTGTTGTCACTGGTTGCAGCTGTTGCTCTTGGTCTGGGTCGGATGTGGCATTTCTGTCTGATATGGTCCTTTTAGAGAAAACCTGAGTGATCTGGTTTCTGAATGAGCGGCAGAAAAAAAAGTAGAGCACCGGGTCAAAGCACAGGTTCAAGATGGCCAGAAGCAAAGTGGACTCTTTGGCTAAGAAAAGATGTTTCCTCACACTGCAGTCAGTGATCACCTGATTCTGTGTGAACGTGTAAGGCATTCGCACGGCATGGTATGGTACAAAGCACACCACATAAGCCACTGTCACCATGGTAATGTTGACAGTGGCTTGGTGAGCGCTGGCCTGTTCCTTGGGGTCTCCCCCACGTCTGCCCCAAAACTGCTTAAGCACCAAGCCATTGGACAGAAGCACGGCTGCTGAGGCGTTCAGGAAGATCGCCATGCCCAGAAAGGCAGAGAGGGTGTGCCAGTGCTTGCCAATCTCCTGTTTTAAGTCAGCACAGGTTAATGAATTACTGTCTGGAATTTTGTCCTTGATCGGGATGGCCATATTTGGAACATTAATGAAGAGCACCAAGAGCCAAACCACAACTGACATCATCGCAGCAAAGCCCACCTCCTGTAGACGGAACATTTTGGAGCTATGGGTGATCTGGAGGTAGCGGTGGACACTGACGAAGGCTAGGAAGATGATGGAGGCATACATGTTGATGTAGATGAGTGGCGAACTGACTTGACAATGAAAAATGGTCAGTCTCTGAGACTGCACCCCCAGGTCTTTGGCAATCTTGAATGGTAATGCCAGTGTGAGCAGGAAGTCAGAGGTCAGAAGGTTGATAAGGTAGACATTTATGCACTTCTTAGAGTTCTTACTGTATATGAAGGCCCACAGTGCCACCAGGCTGCCAGCTAAGCCTATTAGGAAAATGAGGATGTAGATTGAAGCAAAGGGTATCATCTTGTCATTGACCACACATTCCTCCTTCATCTTCTCTATGGGGGTTGCGGATTGGTTGTCTACCATCTTTGCAAAGACGCTGGATGTAGTTCCCACCATTGAGTGCGTTTAGATTAATGTGGCTCCAGCACGAAGAATCAAAGGTCCTGAAGAATGTAGTATTGTTCCGCTTGTGAACTTGATAGAGTGAGTCTGAGTGAATGTGACTTTCTTACTTCACAAAGGAGTGAATAGACACCAGAAAGGAAGTGGTCAATGTGTTTTCCTTTTTTCTTGACTCAGACAAACCATGTCTCTGATCTGGTGATAAGTCAGAAAGGAATCCCTGTAAAGAAAGAGATAGCAAATATTTAACAAACAACAAATACTCGCATTAGACATACATGCTTACACTTTTACTGTGCAAAAGTCTAAGCAAACTGTTTAGTTCATTATCTTTATTATCTTCATCCTTGTAAAACTATGTATTTTTGAGAGTAAGTATGTTTTTGCTTCTAAAACATACTTTAACATTAGAATCAATTCAAGAAAACATTAATGCAGTAAAAATAACAAGAATTTCTTGTTTTCAAAAATGTAGTTGAAATGCTGTGAGCTGGTTAGAAGAACATAGGCTTAGTTCTAGATTTGTCCTCAATGCCTCCAGCCATCACATAGGTTTGTTCAAATACACCACAGAACACATGACTTAACTTAATGAGGCATTGATTAGCCAAACCAGGGTATGGCACCTGCAAATAATGCAGATGCTCAAGCAGAGGTTTGTAAACACCTTGACAAACATAAAATAACCACTTATCACCACTTTGTACTTGTATATATTGTAATATTATTGTAATATTAAACATTTTTTTCTGAGCAAGTGAACACTTTGTGCTTTGCAACACCAGTAGTGTTTTAAGTATTATCTTTTGCACAGTACACACACACACACACACACACACACACACACATATATATATATATATATATATATATATATATATATATATATATATATCAAAAACACTCCATATATCTATTTCACATAACACATTTTTGAAAAGAGTGGTGATGTATAATGGAAATTGTTTTTATTTCAGTAAAAAAACTCACACAGTGATGTTTCTTGTATGCAAAGATAATACCAAAGTCCTTTTTTCCACCTTAGACAGACTAGTTAACCCTAACTTTTTGCCAGTGTGTTTCATGGTGATCTTCTAAAACTTGCGAAAAGTTTAAGCAAAATAAAATAGCCTTGATAAGACAAAGCATAGCTCAGCCAACTAAAACAAGTTCCTGTAACTTTCCTGATAAGCCTCCTACACCAGTAATGACATCTTTCTCTGTTATCAGTTATCAGGAACTTACAACTCTTCATAACAAATTAAGTTCGTTCACATGTGATCTTGACTCTGTTCCTGCTTCTGGTTTTTTGATTGTGTCCAAAGTGATGTTTTAACTATTGTAAACTGTTCTCTGTCAACAGGTACTTTAGCAGACACTTTCAAAACTGCCTTGATGAAGCCTCTACACTCTAAAAAGTGATGCATTAAATAACAACACACATTACTTGTGTTACCTGTTTTAACACTTCTTGTGTCATATTGTTTTCTGATTTAACATATTTTGTGCTAAAAGTAATGCAATGTGTCGTCTCCAGCTGAACACACTCTTGTCTAGTTAGTGATAGAATGTGTTGTTTTTTAACACACCTGTTTTAAGAGTGTACTAGAAAAGAGTAGCATGGATCTTTCCATACAAAATAATTTTAGACCAATTTCAAACCTTCCCTTTTTAAATAAAGTCTTAGAAAAGGTTGTTTTCAAGCAATTAAATGTGTATCTAATATCAAACAAGTTATATGAAAAGTTTTAATCAGGTTTTTGTTCTAACTATAGTACTCACACGCATTGGTTCATATTGTTAATGACCTCAGACTCAGAACATTCTAATCCACCATCTTGAATGCTGGGTCAGCTTATTGGTACAGTTTTAAAATGGTTTAGATCATATTTATAGAATAGGCAGTTCTAGGGAAATCGTTCATCAAAAAACATTTCCTGTGGAGTCCCATAAGGTTCAGTTTTAGGGCCTTTGCTTTTCTCTTTGTGCATATTACCTTTAGGAGATGTCATTATAAAATATTAGATAAATTTCATAGCTATGCTGATGACACACAATTATACATTTCCATGTATGAGAAGCTCAGTTCTTTAGCTTTGTATACCAAAACTGAAGTATGAAACCTGGATTTAATCTTAGACTCTGAGCTGTTATATCCTGCATGTAAACAGTCACTAAAGTAACTTTGTATCATTTGAGAAATATTGCTAAAGTACAGGCGTTTGTGTCTCAGAACAACACAGAGAAACAAATGCTTTTCTTGCTGGGCTTCCTAAGAAAACAATCCACAATCGTCTACAACACATACAAAATGCAGTAGCACAGATCCTAACAAATACCAAAAAACAGAGCTCATATCACGCCTGTTTTCAAAGAACTGCACTGGCTGCCTGTATTTTTCAGGATAGATTTTAAAATTCTGCTAATAAGGCTCTAAATGACATAGCACCCACTTACAGCACAGAATGTCTGTCTTGTTCCACCACGTGACCTTAGATCTGCAGATACTGGCCTTCTGCGAAGACTTTCCTTAAAATCTTTCTGTTGTTATGCTTCTAAACTGTGGAACTTAATTCTACCTTTTATTAGATGGCCAAACTCAGTATTTACTTTTAAAATATTTCAAAATGTATCTTTTACAGGGATTTCTTAGCATTTAATTCTACATCTCTTGGTATTTTTTCCGCAATATAGTGATATATATATTAGAATTCAGCGGACACATTATCACTAAACACAAACAATATAGCTGCCCCTGCCACTGTGCACTGTGAGGTGATATTCAGAGTTCTGAATTTCTCCACAATTTCCTCATTTGTCATTTGACCTACAAACTTTGTCCCAGAACTCAACAGGATTTTTATGTACATTTTAGCAAACAGCATTCTGTTTGCCAGGGGATTGCAACTTCTGCTGAACCCTCAGAAGTCATGTTTTTGTACTCTCTTTACTTCTCTTTGTGGTGGTTTTTGACATCTGTGTTCTGGGTAATGTTCTTGATCTGTTCAGTTTTTTACTGTTATTCACTACTGTGCTTTTCTGTGGTCTGCCAGCTTGTTTACCATTGCTGTGCATCAGTGTGTTCTTCTTTCTGAAAGTACTGGTTCAGTAACAAATCAGAATTACACGATTTTACCCTTACTCCAAACACAGACATGTTTTGTATCCTTGTTTCTTTAGTTTTGTCCTGGGACTGCGAGGCTAGCATAGGTAAACAGTAATAGACAAAGGCTTCTATTGTGTGTGTTATGGCGATGTTCATATTACAAGCCTATTTGCTCAATTCCAATTTTTTGCTCAGAGACGATCTTGATGGTTCATATTGTATGGTAAAAAAAAAGTTCCAATCTGACCATTCTCACTGAGCCCGTTTACATCCTGCATTAACGTGTTTTGTGTCTGGATCATGTCTGTATAAACTTTGGCTGGATTCCTGGATTACACTTTTTACTAAAACGCCTCCCCAGTGTGGCCAGATGAGAGCCGGGAACCACGTAAACCATAAAACCATTCCCACAAAAAAATATGGATTTTGACACACTTGATATTTGTTTGTCTCAGATTTCAGTTAATTTCTCAAGCCTCATGATGGCTTGCGGTATTAGCATCGATACTTCTTTGTTCCTCATGTTCAGAAACAACAAAAACAGGCTCCAGATCCAAATACCACAACTACAATCAACTGCCTTGAGCATAAACCAGTAATACAACAGCTGAACTTTGATCCCTTGAAATTAGGGAATTATGTACAAAATGGTTGTGATTCTTATGTGGTTCATCCAATATAGCAATCAATAAAACTATCATTGCATAATTTGTCAGTAAAATTATCTCAATAAAAATGCCAACCAGCCATAATACTGACAACATGTATACATGCCACTCAACTGCAAGTTGTATATATACGTCATTTAGATTTTTAGCTCTGTGCTTTGTAGAGTGTACTCTAAAAACACAAAACCAGAGTTTTTAATTTAAGAGGTGAAGACCAGCTCATACAGTCAGTAACAACCTATATTTAGAGTTCTAAATAGTTCATCAATCCTTCATCAATCACACTTTATTATCAACAAAAATGTGCTGTATTAGTCAACTTTAATTTCTCATGCTTCAAACTGCATTTAAGACCAAAAACAAGCATGGATAGATAGACAGACCTTGTTGATTGTCAGGGGGAAATTTAACTGGGCTACACATTTAAAAATGATGGTTCTTCAACGGTCCTTTAGTGAAGAATATGGTTTTCTATAGAACATTTTTGAAAAGAGCACCAAAAAAAATGTTTCTATTATTACAAGCTTGACATTGTAACAAAAGAAGAACTCCTTTTGGTGCTAAATAGAACCCTTTAAAAAGAGGTTCTCTATAGAAATATATTGAACACATTCTTCATCAATTTGAAGAATGTTTTCACAATGCAAAGAGCGCTTTAATCATGCAGAGGGTTCTTTGAGTGTTCATGGGTCTGTGTAGAACTATTTTCTGTACTAAGGAATCCTTAAAGAACCATCATTTCTAAGTGTGTACTTAGATACATGGTAAAATCCCTGGTGTTGAATTAACTCATGCTCATTTTTGTCCAGTTGTACTTGAATCAACCCTCACAGTGTTACTTTAACACTGGACTTTGCTCTATAAAGTAAAACATCCATCCAGTGAATCAAGCAAATAGGCTCAAAGTATTCACAAAATACTTTCTGGTGTAAGACTTTTCATGATCAGAAGAGATCTACTTCATATTTTGGAAAATACTGTACTGAAAATACTTTATTGGTTAATATGTAATTACGTGGTTGCCCGAAGTCCCACTTTTACTTCCATATGGATGTGAGAGCAAAATAAAAAAAGAAGTTCATAAAGACTTCAGAAAAGAGAAAAGTATCCGAACATATCTCAGTCAGCGGACTGCAAGTTTATCACACACTAACAGTGTATTGTTCATTTATTTGACAGACTACTTTTCATGCAGTTGAGTGAAATCCGAACATGTTCCGATCACTAAAACGCCTGTTAATGCAAGATGTAAACAGGCCCATTAGGGTTGCAGGGCCGCAAATCAGATATGCATCCATTTAGGACCACACAGGAAAATCGCTCAGCAGCTCTGAAGGGCCTCTGATTTGAAAAGTTTAGATTTGCATGACTACACAGCTCTGAAAAACTCAGTGTCACATTAAGACAAAAAAAATTCTGATTTCTGCTACCAGCCTGGTAATGTGAACATAGCCTGTAAATAAGGAAGTAAACTTATGTCTTGGCTGATTAACCATATTTAGAACAAAGAAAAAAGCAGTGTTTGAAAATCCATTTTTTTTAAATGTACCAAACAGTGGATTGTGACACACTTAATGTTTGTTTGTCTCAGGTTGAATTATTCTGATTTTTCAAGCCTTGTGATGGTCTGCGGTATCAGCATCGATACTTCTTTGTTCCTCATGTACAGAAACAACAAAAACAGCCTCCAGATCTAAATACCATGACTAGAACCTTGTGAACTTGAAATTAGGGGATTGTGTACAAAATGGTTGTGATTCTTATATAGTTCATCCTGTACAGAAACACACTGAATTAAACCTCGTGTTGTGGGATTGAACCTGATATTTCATTGTTTCTTTTCAAATCCATTGTGCTGGAGTATAAAACAAAACTGTAAATGAATAAGCTTTAAAGGAAAACAACCAGTAAAACTTTTATTGCATATTTGTCAGTAGAATTATCTTAATAAACATGCAAACTAGCAACAGTCCTGGCAAAATTCATGGGTGCCACTCAAATGCTACACAAAGTTGTATATACAAGACATTTTGATGTTTAGCTTTGTGCTATTTAGAGTTATTCTAAAAACACAAAACCAGGGTTTTTTACTTTAAGAGGCGAAGACCAGCTCATGCAGTCACTAACAACCTATGTTTGGAATTCTAAATAGTTCAGTTTAGACTCTCACTGAAGCCCTTATTTCTCATTAACCTCATGTTATTATCAAAGTATCTGTGCTGTGTTAAACAGTTTGCTTCTCATACTTCACCCTGCATTTAAAACTTGTGTCCAAAAACAAGCGTGGATAGATAGACAGACCTCGTTGACTGTCAGGGGGAAATTTAACAGGGCTATGTAGATACATGGTAAATTCCCCGGTGTCGAATTAATCCTTACAGTGTTGTGTTAAGTTGGACTTAAAAGAACACTGTTAGGGTTAATTTAACACTGGATTTCCTGTGTAAGATAAAATATCCAGTCAGGAAATCAACCAAATATACACAAAATTCTTTCCGGTGTAAGAATTGTCTAGATCAGAAGAGACCTACTTCATATTTTGGAAAATACCGTACTGAAAACACTTTATTGGCTAATATGCAGTTGTGTGGTTGCCCAAAGTCCCAATTTTACTTTCCATATGGATGTGAGAGCAAGGCAAAAAAGAAGTTTATAAAAGCTTCAGAAAAGAGAAAAATATCCAAACATGTCTCTGTCAACAGACAGCATGTTAATCACACAGTGCTCCAGGATTAACAGTGTATTGTTTGTTTGACAGATCCTTTTTTTAAAGGTTAGAGAAGAACAGGATGTTCTACAGCCTACACATGTATGTGATTCAGAGCTGTAGTCCATGAGTCTGTTCCCTGAAGCCACTTTTACTTCCCAAATCTCACATGAATCTACCAATGAACCTCATCACAACCTGGATGTACCCATGGATACCATGTTTTTTTTTCCCTTTTTTTTTTTAAGAAACCAAACTCAGAAACTAGATCTCAAAGTTTCAAAGCAACCTGAAAATAAAGTCTTTAAAGCAACAGGAAGCAACACAGACACATGTGCTTTTCAGACTAAGTACGCTTTTCAGAAAAAGACTCACCGCATCTTCAGCTGTTAGCTGGTGCTTATAAGCACATCATCTTCTCAAATGAAGGGCTGTAGATGTAAATGAAGTTCTTTCAGGCCCATTCAACTGACCTACACTGAGAGGCGACTACCGTTACGATCCCTCCAGTAACTGTACAGACTGATTTAATCTTCTCTTTGCGACTCTAATGACATTCTACGAAGTGAAAGAGGGCGTCAGTCACTTCTTCCCCAGTGAGGTGCTGTGACGTTGCGGAAAACTAAACTTTCCAGACTGTCTATCAGTAGGAAAGCCACAAACCACCAAGCTTTTAAAACCAAGAATACAAATCAACTCATGTTACTAGGGCTAATGTTGAGAAAAAAGATCATGCCTCTCTGCTTTGCCATTTTATGTCAGTGAGAATAAAGCCTGCTCTGTTTTGCGGGAGCCCCAGGTGGTGGCTTATCAGGGGAGGAAGTTGCTGCTATAAAACCGAAATTGCGGAAGCTGTAACAGTACTGTTTGGGGAAAACACCTCAGTCATTGGTTTATTTCCCTTCAAGCCCTGAGTGTCGTCATAATCTGATTATTCATATTTCTTGCAATGAAGCCACTGTCGGTAAAGGGTTTTCTTTTTTTTTTACGATGCAATGAAAGCTCTTGACAAATGTCAATAGACACTTTTAAATGTATATAGATGCATATAGAACATTATTATACTTTATTTGACTGATATTTACAAAGTGCATTTCAATATGTATTATACAACAGTTAGTTCCAACAGTACAATCTGATTGGTTAAGAAGCCTTTTTTCACAAATAATTCTGTATAATTTTTTCACTATAATTCTGCTTAGCACCAGTTGCGACTTAATACATTTCTACTTTAGCAAGTACAAAAGCAGAAAATGGATACACTGGATAACTAAAACTATCATTTAAAAGATAATATTTGATCTACAGCCCATATGACAGCTTCTGACAATATCTGACAGTATATAATTCCAAACTTGTCGCTGCGATATTATGCTCCCTCTCATGTTCGATTACTTAACTAATAGCAGACATGACAAAAAGGAATTATAAAAATGTATCTCATTCCGTCATTATCCATCCATCCATCCATCATCTAAACCGCTTATCCTTCTGGGTCGCGGTGGGGTGCTGGAGCCTATCCCAGCTGTCATTGGGCGGAAGGCAGGATACACCCTGGACAGGTCGCCAGTCCATCGCAGGGCAGACAGACAGACATACACAGTCACACACACACTCACACCTAGGGGCAATTTAGCACGTCCAATTGGCCTGACTGCATGTATTTGGACTGTGGGAGGAAACCGGAGTACCCGGAGGAAACCCACGCAGACACGGGGAGAACATGCAAACTCTACACAGAAACTACCCTGGCCACCCAGCCGGCAATTGAACCCAGGCCCTTCTTGCTGTTAGGCGACAGCGCTACCCACTGCGTCACCGTGCCGCCCCTTTCTGAAAGTATGATTTATGAAATTGAAATTGTAAATAATGCTTTGGTAGAATATCTTTGTGACTATTGCTGAATACCATCCAATTTTTAACATATGAATCAATACGTCACCAGTCCATGCAGATACAGTTTGTTTAAATGATACTTTGACGTCTCAGTGTAGAGACCCTTGAATCTGAGTTGCTTTGTCTTCTCATATCTCCTGGAACTTGACTCAGCTTCCAGCTAGATGTAGTTTGACGGTTTCTGATGCCAAGTTGGGCTCTGAAGGCCTTGCAGAAGATAAAATATATCAGCGGGTCCAGGCAAGCATTGAGCACTGAAATCAGAACTGTAAGTTCCTTCACAATATAAAATGCCTGAGCTGTAGCGCAGTGCTTTAGCAGGGGCTTCAGGAAAGCATAAGGCAGCCTCACTAAGTGATAAGGCACAAAGCACACACAGAAGACCACCACTAGCACTAACATATTGCGCTTTGACTTGTTGAGCTTACGGTTGGAAGGCTTGGCCTGGACTTTTTGGGTTTGTTGGAGCCTACGCACGGTTCCCCAGTACAACAGGACCAAGGACACCAAAACGATCACAAAGATGATTGCAGAAATGCTATGAATGATCTTATAAAGCATGTTGACCTTATAGCTGTGTAAGGCCTCACAGCCAATGACATTTGGATTTGGGTCAACAGTCCAAGATGTACAGAGGAAGACGATAAGATAAACAGATGCCATTCCTGATAAGGAAGCCCATGTCGCAATGGAGATGTAGCGTGCAGCACGGGCTGTCTGCAGAGCATGAGTCTCCACTGGACGGACGATCTTCAGATACCTAATGAAAGAAAGACAGTGGTATTAATTAATCACTTTGTTTGAGTTTATTAAGTACAGCTACTGTCACTCATTGGCCATTTAATCAGGTACAAAAAAATTCATGAGGAATGACTAACAAAGTGTTGTTACATTCATTTACTGTGAAAGCTAAAGCTGCACTATGTAAATTTTTTCATTAAAATTGAAAGAAGTAGCATCAGAAGATTTTTTTTTTTAAATATGGTGTGCTGCTGCAAGTCACCCTGTAAATCCTGAAATAGTGATTTAAAAGTCAGAGGCAGTTCAAACTTTGCAGGAGTTTTTTGGATCACACATAATTACATATCACTGTCACACACTTGGGCTCAAAAGAAAGGTCCAGCCCAATGTTAGATCTCAAATACAAAGTCAACATTATACCAATGAAGATATGATGACAACAGTAGGAAATTCACTTACATCATCAGAAGACATCTTTCACCAAGATTTGACTGTGTTCTATCTGAATGCTTTTTCACCGTGCTTGCTATCATCAGATTCATCCACTCATGGAAGGGGTCCGAAGCACAACGGACATTACAAAATGTTCTTCTGCACATTGCATGCAATTTCCCATTTCTACCAGAGAGGCCTCCAAATCCCCTTTACATAGTGTAGCTTTAAGAATGTTTTTTTCCTTATTACATTTTGTTTAGACACATTTTGGGAGATTCAAGGTTTTGTTCTGATAGTGATGATATGAGGGTACACTGTGTAGGTCTACAGTTACTAACTGGAGCCTTTCTGTTGCTGTGCAGTTTGTCAGCCACCATCTAGACCATTTGTCAATAGAGAGAGGCCACCATCAGAGCGATGCTGTCTAGATATTAGTTGGGTGGTGGACCACTGTCAGCACAGCAGTGACGCTGACATGAGGCCGTTGTGTTAGAGGTTGTTGCACGGATATGAGTATTATTCTGCAGACTATTTTCAACTACTGCTGGGCTGAGAATAGACCAGAAACACGAAATAATACTGGTGCTGCAGTCAGAATCTGACCACTGATGAAGGGCTAGAGGACGACTGACAAAAGGTACAGAAAAAGATGACCTAACCTTTCTAACTGTATGGTTACAAGGTGTAACAACAAGGTCTAATAAAGTGGCCAGTAAGTGTATTATTTACCCTTTAAACTCCAAGGGACTTGAAGCAGGTCTAGACATCCATTCTATTCTCATAAGATACCTGAAATGTTACTGAATAATTCATAAAAGTTACTCAGTTAAGTAATCAGCTTTGAGTAATAACTGAATAACAAACTTACACTCTTAGAAAAAAAGGGTTTTATAGTGCCAAAAAGGGTTCTTTTGATTTGTAACAATTGTAGAACCCTTTTTTGCACTATATAGAACCATTTTCAAAAGATTCTTTAAAGGACCATATATGACAAGTAGTAAATCATCGTGAAGAACCATTTTAACCATGGACAGAATCATGTAAGCATTCAAATCGTTCTTGAGTTGTCATAGTTCTATATATAACCATTGCTTTTACTGAAGAACCCTCAAAGAACACCCTTTTTTAAGTTTAAGGGGGTAAAGAAAATAACAGATAGCCCCACCAATCATCTCAAATTGCAGTAAATATGAGAATGTTCTCAGATGTTTGACATAAGCGAGCATGACCTATATTTGATAAGCCACAGAAACTGCTTTGCGGCACCCACTTGCACAAACTCTTCCTTTTACGGTACCTGTTTGCAGCAATGTAATCCATGAAGAGAATGCTGGCATACATGTTGAAGTAGAAAGCTGTAGCACCAAAATTGCAGTAAATACGCCTCATAGTTAGAGACTTGCTGGCATAGTTGGCTATGCGTAAAGGCAAACAGAGGCAGAGGAAGAAGTCAGCTGCAGCCAGGTTCTTCAGGTAGACAGTGACGCTGGACTGGAGCCGTTGAGAAGAGCAGAAGTACACTCGCATGGTGATGGCGTTCAGTGCCAAACTAACCATACACACTAGGCAGTAGGCAAAAATGAAGAAAGGATGGGCTGGCACCTCTGTCCGGACACAGGGTGATGATGTCACATTTGTTGTGTTTAACATCAAGGTGAAAGTCAAAGCAGTGGTCAGACTGGTGGCTGCCATTGTGGACATCCAGCTACATGCATGAAAGACACACAGAAATCAAAGTAAAGCAAACAATCCTCTAACCTGCACTTACACTATCAACTCAGTGTCAACTCAATATTATTATTTAAATAAACTTAGTGGAAATGGTGTAGTGTAGATTGGGAGTGAATGTAAAATTTATATTTTCAAGCTTCTTTAAGCAGAACTGTTCAGGTGTGTTTTGTTTTTTAAGTTGTGTATTCACTGAAATTCGCGTGACTGGACATGACTCACCAACTTGGTCTTCTCCTCGCTGTACTGACTGTATGGGAAAGGAAGTACTGAAACCTGTACAGTCTGTTCAGCAATAGTGCAAAAGGGTGTTTTTGCCAGCTTACATGCTGCTGTGAGATTTTAACATATTGCACCATTGGTCTGTATGATCATTACAATGTCTTCTTTGGAACATTGAAAACAGCAATCAGGACATCTTGGGATTGATTGATTGATTTATTGATAGTTTGACTGATTGATCATTTTTGTGTTTTTTAAGTTTCATGTTTTTTATTGTTTCTCGTGACTGACTGCATGACAAAAGAAAATCATGCAAGTTAAATTTCCCTAAAAAGCCCTATCTCTAAAACATATCTTGTTTGTCCCTTTAATGACTGTGCTGACCTAAGCACGACCTACTTAAAGGCTCTAACAAAGGGTTCCGTTAGCCGCATCCGTCCTTTTAAATTAAAGGCAGCTTCATGCAGCCTGTCACATATTTACAATTTTTGTAACTTGAAGTTTTTTTTTCATTTTTCTGGGATAAATATTTACATTTAATGAGTAGGTTTGCTTTACCCATATGAACCTGCAGATGGTCACCTAACCTAACATAAGCTATTTTAATCAGCTTAGGCTGATGCTTAAATTTCTGAAAGCAAAATGGATGAATGTTATATTATAAGCAGGCATGGCTGTAATTTGGCTCTCATTTATTCTCATTTAGACCAATAATTGTTAAATCTGCTTTTGTCTTCTTTTCAGTGAGCTCTGTTTCAGTTTAACAAAATAAGCATCAGAAAATATATGCTAATGCCCACTGACCTGCTTGTCCACATGCATCGAACGCCACAAGCAGGTTTCATGTGAGGTTATCATACTTTAGTATGCTGCGTGTCTGACCCAGCTGATGACTGGGCTGTTTCTGTGTGCTCAGTGGTATCAAGTTTGAGGACAAGATGTTACCGACCACACAGACTACTTAACTGACCTTTGCACTATTGTTAGAGGAGAAATAATCTGAAGAGTTAATAGTGGTTAGCCTGCCATGTAAATTTTGCAGATTTGTTCAAATAATGTTTTTGAGATCTGTTGATCTTAATAAAAGTCCAATGCAAATCTGATTTAGAAGAGAGGGTAGGTGTTTTGTGTTTGAAAGAGAAAGAAGATTAATAGTCGTATTTTTAATTTCTTGAAAGAAATATTGTGTATGACATGAAATATTTAGTTATTGACAGACTACTAGGTGCTAAAGTCTGGCAGTCTGTATGAGTGACACAGAGAAACTCATAAGCTCATGCATTTGTTACAAGCAGAAGTTTACTGTCATGCTCTTCTTACAGAACTTCCTAAGAAAACAATGCATAATCGTCTACAACTTGTACACAATGCAGCACAGATCCTAACAAAAACAAGAAACAGAGTTCATATCACTATAGTTTTGAAATAACTGCATCGCCTCTTTCTTTTAGCACAGATTTTAAAGTTCTGCTATTAGTTTTTAAGGCTGTAATTGACCTAGCACCAGCCTACATCACAGATCGCATGTCTGTTTTTGTACCAGCACGTGACCTTAGATCTGCAGATACTGACCTTCTGCAAATGCCTTCCGTAAAATACAGTAAATGTGGAGAGGCGTCTTTCAGTTATTATGCTTCTTAACTTTGAATCTCAATTTCACTTTTTATTAGACAGTCAAAAAAAAAAAGGAAATGTATTTCTTTAAAATTCTATGTCTGTTTGTTATTTATCTCTTTAATTTGATCTGTCATTGTCTTATATGATTTTCAATGATATTCATAGTTTCTTCTATTACTGTTAAGCTTTATCATCTGTCTGTAAAGCACTTTGAGCTGCCACCACTATGAAAATTGTTCTGTAGATAAAGATATTATTATTAAATAATACTAAATAATAAATAATATTACTATTAAATAATAATTATTATTATTGATAGGAGAATTAGTAGAATAACTGCTAATAAAACAGTGACTAAGATGCGCTTAAACAAGTATATATGTTATGTAGTTAATATTCAAACACTTTTCTCCATAGTTTACTTTACAACATTAGATAAAATATAAGATGAAAAGAAGTTATCTAGTTAAAAATTCATACTTAAAAAATTTTAAAAACTTTTTCTTGCATTTTTTCAATCACCTTGCCAGCGGTCCCCAGGTAAATTAAGATTTAGACCCCGACCCCTGCTCTAGCATAATCCAGTGGAGCCCAATGTTGGAGAAAAGGTAGTAAGTTAAGCATAAAGTAAACATGCACAGTCAGTTAGAGAATCAGAGTTGGTTACAGACCACATATACATGATTTGTTCAGTTTAGATTTCCACTGAAATCCATCTCTTAACCAGTTTTTATTATCAAAATATCTTACTAATTTACAGCCTCTTTCAGGACATCCAAATTGTGCCTCAGAATTCATTTCCTGGATTTTGTACATGTAACTTTATCATATCAGGACCAAACATGTTACAAAATAGCAATACATTGGCTGTTTAAAAAGGTTCCCTTGTAGTTTTAATCTAAGATGCTCTAATGCCAAACAGCATGACAATATAAGTTTGACTTACCCAGTTACAGTCACTGAAGTGTGCAGCAATGCTTAGATGTAATAGTCATATATTCAGACCTACTTCCTCCTACACTCACACGAGGAAGAAACTGGGTTTCTGTGTGTGTTTGTGGAGAGCAAAAAAAAAAATTTGTTCATGAGAACGATATCAGTGGGGCAGACAAACTGTGTTGTAGGTAGGGTGTCATATATTCTTAGCTGTCATATGTCATTTGCAAGTCAAAAAGTCAGAAAGTAATAGAGCTGTTTACCTTTACCTTTCTACTGACCAGAAGTGAAGCACACACTGAAGGGTCTGGATCTTTCTTAACGAATATGTATATTCTCAGTAGGTAACAGCAGCTGGCCTTATAGCATACAACTACATTTTGATAATGGAGAATCAAGACTATGAATATCAGAAGCCAGTTTAAGCCCAGAATGGGTAAAAGGTTCCACCCACACCAGGGCTACTGTATTAACAAAATGCAAATGTAAGTTAATAGGAAGAGTACACAGAACAACGACAGGACACATATAGCTGACAAGCTGTACCCTGTAAAGTACACATACAGAGTTTTGTATTCTTCTCTTGGTTGGGTTTTTCCATTAACTTCTGCATAACTTCAGTTTAAAGGGGAATTCTACATTTTCCAAGATTTCTACATAAATCATTAAATGCAAATAAAGTCATTCAGAGTGGTTCTAAAAAACTTATCTAGTCAGAATTGTTCACCATGGTGGTGATAGGAACTGAAGAGTTTAACCCTTGTGTGGTGTTTAGGTCCGTGGGACCCATTTTCAGTGTTTACCAAAAGGAAAAATGATGCAATTTCTTATTATTTCAACCTCAGATTCCTTGGCCTTCGGTCAATTTCTGTGAAGAACATATAAAATAACACATTTTCAATGACTTCACACTGTAAACCCCCTACACATTTATATTACATGTGGTGTTCAGGTGAACCCACAGGGAATAAAAGTGTGGAGGTGCTGTGTCCCTTCACTCTGTTCTCCTCCTACATGGCCTGTGTGTGTGTGTGTGTCTGTGTGTATATGTGTTTGTATATGTGTGTGTGTGTTTGAGGGTGGACAACATAGACAGGCAGCTGACTGGCTACAGCTGCTTCAGGAGAACCATACTTTGGCTACATGTGATATTTTAAACATATGGTATTTTTACATAAATTGTTATGGCTGTATTGATTAAAAAAAAAAATAATAATGCGGTGGGTCTACCAGACCACTGAGTAACGAAAACATCAACACCACACAAGAGTTAATTCCTCTGCAAGCTCCCTTACACGCAATAATTATGTGAAATCATTATAAATACACTGCCTGATGTCTGAGATATTGTCTTATTTTTTAGATAAAATATTTGTCTTAAAATGTATTATTAATTTTTAATTCATTCATGGCAGAGAGGTACATGCAGGGCACTGTAAGACATAATAGTCCCCCAAGAAATATGAGTGAATATGTTTCTCTATAATGAAGTGTGAATGACATCTCAATGACTGAATTATGCAGAATGTTTGAGATATCCATGGGATTCCCTTTCAGTTTTGCTGTGCTATCAATCCCAAACTTAACCTCAGAAACCAAATGCAAATTTTTTGTACAAAGCAACACAAATAAATCAATTATGTTCCTCATAAGGAACAGATTTCCATGTACAATGTTATATCACAACATCATGTTTTTTTCAAAGAAACATTGGGTCCCTGAAAAGAGCTAAATACATACACGCACACACACACACACACACACACACACACACACACACACACACACACATACACACACACACACACACACACACACACTATTATTTTGCATATGATGTTGGTTGTGACTTTATGATGCAAAGAGAAACGAGGTACATGAGCAACTTAATAAGGGCTGTTTACTAGGAGAAGAGCTATAAAAAGCTGCTTTTACTGCTTTTATGTTCTTCTGAACGTCATTTACACAGCTGTAAACTATGCTGGACAAGTATGACATAGAAGTATGTAAACATTATAACTAAGAGCCTGAAAGTGGTGTAATGGTGAGAGCCATACTGTCACTATACTGCCCCCTTGTGGAATCTCTTCACCAATTCAACACCACTCAGTAGTACTGGGAATTAGCTTGACTGCATGAGCAGTTATGCAGTCGGACGCAAGGGGTCAGCATTGTAATACTTATTAACTAATGGACTTGCTTTCCATGAAAACAAGATAGCCTACAAGAATTCCACATGTTAATATATATTACAAAGAATAGCACTGCTCAGGCATTGTTGTATGACTTAGCAGAACTTTTTAGAGCATCCAGAATCTATCAACATGTCACTAAAGTTCATTAGTCAGTGTTCTTCTCTTTTTGTATCCTAAAATAAAATGATAAACCTCAAAATGAGCTGCGTGAGCAGTCACAAAGCAGAACATAACGAATTTAAACACAGAAAGGGAATCAGTAACTACAAGCCCATTTTCAAAAAAAGCTAATACAGTATGTAAAACACCATTAACCACATTTAGCAGTGATTAGTAAATTGCGTGACCTGTGCTAAATTGAAAGTGGTCAAAAAACACAAAAAAACACTATGTAAGTTTGTGGACCCCTTTTATTAGTGAATTCAGCTGCACAAAGGTGCACTTGCTGTTGGCACAGGAGTTCAAATGCACACGCAGCTTGTATGGTCTCCATAGAAAAACAGTGACAATAGTACAGGATGTTTTGGAGAGGCCGCACACGAGGCTAAGGTCACCGTGTCCAATGCCAAGTGTAGGCTAGAAGGGTATGAAGCCTGCCAGCATTGAGCTGTAGAGCAGTGAAACTAGCCAATACCTTTGGGATGAGCTGGAGTGGCGTTTGTGATCCAGAACAAAACATCCAGCATCAATACCTGATCTTACCAGTGCTCCTGCTGCCAAATGCAGTCAAATCCTCACAGCAATGTCCAATGTACATTTAGTGTAATGCTTTCCCCAAAGGGTAAAGACAGTTACTGCAGCAGAGGGGGACAAGCTCCTTTTTAATGCTCTTGATTCTGGAAGAAATATTGGATTAATACCTGCAACAAATCCAAAAGGACAGGAGCGTATTTACCGCTGCGTTACGTCACCTCAGTTTCAAAGTTTTATTTGTCACACACATAGTCATACACGGTACAACTAGCAGTGAAATGCTTGGATAACTGCCCGCTCACAATAAGGTAATAATAAGCAATAAGGTAATAAGAAACAGCAGTCAAATAGAAGAACAATATTGTAGAAAATATATAACAAAATATCCATCTATGAAATATACATTATAAACACAGCGAAGATATGAAATGTACACATGGCATTGTTGGAAGTAAAGTGCAAGGTGGACAATGTGCAAAGTGAAAGAGCAGACACAGTGAAGACAAACTGATGCAGTTTTTAAAGCATACTTTATTGCAGTTCTTCTGTTACACAAGTCTTCAGCTCTATAGATCATTTGATCAACTGATTTAAGTACAGCTCAAATTAGATTTATAAATCACTGCTTTCTGTTTTCATATACATTTTCCTATTGTCCCAACTTTTTGGCAACTGGGTTTGTAAGTATTAATGTCATTAACATCAGACTTCAGTACTCCATGCTTGAGTAAAAGTGTTATCATTGCATAATATTCAGAAAAAAAGGAAAATCTCTCATTTTAGGAACATGGAACTGAGTAAATAAAAGCTGTTACTGCCATCTCTATTTAAATGTTATATTTTGATGGTATCTCCTGTAAAACTGAATGTTTGCTAGGGAGCTTTTCAGTGCTCTGCAGTGAACAGTCCAATAACAGGTAGCTATAGAGATCAACAATGAGTAAGTCTATGTGTTGGCTTCTGTGGTTTTTCAGTCAATTAAGTGTTTATCTGAGTTTGGCTTCTCCTTTCTGAGAAGTAGCACTGCATACTGGCACAGAAAGTAGCATACACAGCACTGCTGTCCTTCCATGTGCTGCCAGCATCACGACTGACCTAACCACTCAAAAAGTCTTGCATCTGTTCTCAATTTCCTCTTTCTGTCTCTCTTTTTCATTTCAGTTAATTTCAGTTTAGTTATATAGCAGTTTCAACATCAGCCGTTCAGTCACAAAGCAACAGTCTACAGTTACAGAGCATTACGTTACAATTGATAGTGAGTTCAAATTTCATAATTGTGACAGGCCTTCACACAAGCTCAGCTGGGCTGTAAATCAGGGCCCCCAACTCCAATGGCCCCCCAGGCTCAAACTCAAATGTGACAAAAATAGATCAATAAAAAATGAGGGAAATAATCAAAACTGTCAAAATTAAACTAAATATCTTGATTTGCCTGAAAACATATCAATCAGTATAGTATTTCCATTGTATGATTATTGCACTAATTATTATTTTTTTGTTTACTACCCTTAGTATTTCTTGTATAATGCCTTAGTTACTAAAGCTAGTTGAGATCGATTAATTTGCATAAGTTCTACAGATTGAAGAATGCTTTGCCCAAAAAGCTTCTCAGCATTTGTTGGTTCAGTTAATTAATTTGTATTTTTCAAATTCTTCATTTGTTCTCTTCACATAATAATGTTATTTTTTGTGTTATAGTATATTATCATACTAAATGTTAAGTTTTGATGCATTTTACAACTTTTTGTTATTCTTACTATGGTGGTGTTTGTACTGAGGTTATTTATATTATGCTATTTGGGGTAAATAAATGAAAGGTTAACCTAACAAGGCTGATTAAAGTTAACATAACTCATTTAAGAATTAGCATAACTCAAAAGAGAAGAGCCAGCTCAGCTGAAACTATTTGTAATGGTTGGGCTGTTTGAGCTAACCTTACTTGCTGAAGATGTGTGTATTACTGAAAAACATGAAGTAGGAATAGATATAACTCAAGTATAAAACTATTTAAGATTGAATCCGGTTAAGCAACTTTACATAATTTTTCGAAGCAATAAATTTGCAGGATTTTTTTAAGTAAAGTCAACTTACTTAAGCTTACAGTGTAGAGGCAGTATACAATGGGCTCGCACCATGACACCTATTTCAGGCTCTCAGTTGTAAAGTTTATATATTTATATATTGTACATGTCCAGCATGTTTCACAGTTGTCCTGTGTAAATGAAGCTCAGAAAAAACATAAAAGCAGTAAAAGCAGCATTTAATAGCCCTACTCCAAGTAAACAGCCCTTGTTAAGTTGCTCACCTACCCCGTTTCTCTTGGTATCATAAAGGCAGAATAAACATCATATACAAAATAATGACCAAATGTAAAACAAAAATGTCTGCATGTGTGTGTGTGTGTGTGTGTGTGTGTGTGTGTATTTGTGTGTGTGTGCATTTACCTCTTTTCAGGGACCAGACATTTATATGAAAAACATGATGTTGTACATGGAAATGTGTTGCTCCCCATGAGGAAAATACTTAATTTTTATAATTTGTTTAGCTTTGTACTTACACAAGCATTCTCTTTAAGGTAAGTTACCCTTTATTAATCCCACAATGGGGAAATTCACTGCCGCATTTAACCCATCTGTGCAGTGAAACACCCACATACACACTAGCGAAAGCACACTTGCCCAGAGCAGCAGGCAGCCCTATCCACAGCACCCGGGGAGCAGTTGGGGGTTAGTTGCCTTGCTCAAGGGCATTTCAGTCATGTCCTGTAGGTTCAGGGGATCAACCTAGTGACCCTCCAGTCACAAGGCTGGTTCCCTAACCTCCAGCCCACGACTGCCCCCTTTAGTAGCTGAAAACAACAGCGTGATGTTATAGATCATGAATGAGGGAGGCGACACACAACACATGCACAACAATACACAATAATGACGTGAAGCTTGGAGGCACCCACAATAAGACTGCTTGAAAGTTTTATTAAAAAAATCATTCTTGAAAACATGTTCTACTTTTTTCTATGACCATATTATGATACACCAAAATTATCGTGTGTATTCCAGACCTATTAGTTTGTTAGAATAAGGTGATAAAAGCTTATTAACTGCTTGCTGACTTGCTGGGTTATAAACAAACCATAAATAAAACACAATTTGGGACAGTATGTGAAATGCTAATAAAAACTGAAAACAGTGATTAGTAAATTCAGTTTGACCTGTATTAAATTGAAAACCAGGACAAAAGCACAATACTTAATGCTTTATATTATGAACCTTTTTTTAAAATGTTATTTATTTATTTATCTTGGAACTATACACTTACTCCAATTTTGATGTCTGCAACATGTTTTAAAAAAGTTGGGACAGGAGCATGTTGACCTCTGTGTTACATCACCTTTCTTTTTAACAACACTTAATCATTTGGGGACAGAAAATACCAATTGTTCCAGTTCTTTAACTGGTATTATATACAACCTTCATTGTCATATTTGCAGGCAGGGCACCTGCACTCTCTACAGTGCAGCCATGCTGTTGTAATATGTACAAAATGTGGCTTGGAGTCATGTTGAAAAAGATGTTGTCTAGAAGGCAGCATATATGAAATGTGACATATGTGACAATATAAGTGCAAATTGTGTTTATATCTTTTTTCATGGTGCCTTCACAGATGTGCAAGTTACCCATGCCATGACAGAGCCCATCTTTTGAACTTTATGCTGGTAACAATCTGGATGGCCCTTTTCTTCCTTTGTCCTAGGAACAAAACATCCATTTTTTCCATAAACAATCTGAAAGGTGGACTTCTCAGACAACAATACATGTTTCCCACTGTGTATCAGCCAGTTTCAGATAAGCTCAAGCCCAGGGAAGTCTGCAGAGTTTTTAAACCCTGTTGACATATGGATTATGCTGTGCATAGTACAGTCTTAACTTGCATTTGTGGATGCAGCAATGAACGGTGTTTATTATCAATGATTTGTGAAAGTATTCCCAAGCTGGTGCGGTGATGTGATGACAGCCATCACAGAAGCCTACTGGTTTTTAATGCAGTGCCTTCAGAGGGATTGAATTTCATTTGAATTCGGTTGCAGTTTTTGGTTTTGCCGTTTACACACAAATTTCTCTGGATTGCTTGAATCTGTAGAGGATGAGGCAACCTTAACTCATGCTTGCTTATAAAGGACTAACCCTTTCCTGGATGCTCCTTTATACCTAAGATTAGTCTTAATTTGCCCTTGTCCCAACACATTTTGGAACATGTTGCAGGCATCCATTATAGAAAAAGGATATATTTATAGAAACCAATGATGTTGATAAAGTAAAGCATTTTTTTTACTGTATTTTTCATATCGTGTCATTTTTTTGGAATTGAACTTTGTAAATGTACTGCATATTTGATTAGGTAATTTGACTGACTACAGTCACAGAGATACTGATTGATTACTAGTAGGCAGCAATGTGTTATAGAATTGTTTTTTCCTAAATTGAGAGTTGATTTGTTTACAGCCATGCTTGTGTGTGAGTCCCGTATAGAAAAAAAACCTGGTCATTTGTTTATATGTAATATTTACAACATTTACACAAATACATTTCCTTCCAAAACATATTCCAAACACTAAAGTAGATAAAGCAAAAACATTTTTTGTCAATTTTCATACATTTTCAAATGTATTTGTCAAATTGTAATTTGTCATTTAGCATGTACATTTCTTTTTTGTGGGTGTATGAGAAGCAGAGGAAGAGCACAGAAGGAAAAATAGTTCCTATTCTACAAATTTGTTTAGTGCAGTATTTTTGCATTTTTTCAGCATATATGACACCTTCAGTTTTATAAAAAAAAAGATAAGATTAGATTATTTCACAGCTTGAAGACACATATCAATATTTTCAGATGTGGAACATTTTTAAAAAATAAACAGCAGGATCAGAAGTAGCAGCACTGAAAGCATCATTCTGATGTTACCCCAGAAAGAAATGGATGAGGTAACTTCCAGCTAGAGCTACAGGTAAGTGAAAATTGTTTGTTTTTGTGTCACTGATTGCTTATGATAGCTGGCAAGCTTGCTAAGTGGACCCAGGGCAGGGCAATATAATGTTATTATATGCGTTATTTAAGCTTCTATTTACAATGTCAAATGAGGGGTTCAAACATAGCCCATTGTACACATTTAATCACTGTCCTAAACTGAAGTTAGACAGATCCATCACTGCTTTAAATGACATTTGTTACTGTATAGCTACTAGCTAAGGTAGTTAAAACTTACCAAGCTAGCATATTTGTTAATAAGTAACAAATTTTAACTTGACAAGCAGACTTGATATTTCTAGTGCAGACATCTTGAGGGCCTTGTGACACAATCCAGTACAACACTCTCCTGCCATTAGGATAAGCCATGATGTAGGTTGAATGGATTTTGGGTGTTGTAGGATGAATGGGTTTTTCTTTAAAGCTTGTACAACCTCACAACACTACAAAATAACACATTTGTGGGCAGAGTATGCATAAATCAGTTCTCTTCTACAAATTACTGACGCTAAGTCCATTGGTAACAGAGGGCCTCCTGTTCTCACCGTCTGCAGTAGACAGCTTACGCAGCAGTGACTCTCTGAATGTCCTGCACATGAGGAAGTAGATGACGGGGTCCAGACACACGTTGAGGGCTGACAGGAAAAGCGTGGCCTCCTTGGCTTGGAAGAGCTGGAAGCGTGTTTGCATGCTAAACTTGATGCCTGACAGCTGACTCAGCGTGTAGGGCACACGGAACACGTGGTAGGGCACAAAGCAGAGAAAAAACACGGCCAGAAGGCTGAAGATGCTGCGGTTGGATTTGCGGCCTGCCTCGCTGCCGTCCCGGAGCACTCTCCGGTAGGAGCGGTACACATGCTGAGCGATGGAGGTGTAGCAGTAGGCCATGAGCACGAGGGTCAACCAGAAAATGGCCACAATTAGGTGGGCAGAGACTCCATGCCAGCGGCGACCAAGCGCACTTTTTAGCTCCATGCATGAGCAGCCCTCAGCCGCGGGGCGATTTGTCAGCAGGGTGTTGGGTAGCATACAAAGCAGCAGCAAGGCCCAGACTAGGAAGGCCAATACTCTGGCCATGGGCACACGCTGCAGGAGGGAAGAGGCATTGAAAGAGCAAAGGCAAAATGAAGAGGAAGTGGAGGAAGCACGGACAATTTTGACATAGCGCTCCAAACTAATGAGGCTCATGAACACTATGCCCGTGTACATGCTGAGGTAGAAGAGCACGGCTGTGTAGCGGCACACAACCACCTTCATCTGCCAGCCGCCAATACCCAGGTCGCTGGCCACGCGCCACGGGAAGGAGAGCAGCATCAGGAGATCGGCCACCACCATGTTCTTCAGGTAGACCATAAGGCCAGACGTGCTGGGCAGCCGGAAGAAGATCCATGCAGCCAGGCCATTTAAAACCAGCCCACCTGCACAGATCAGAGCATAGAGCACGGGAAGGACTTGCTGCGTAAACACACTACTGAAGTCTGTCCTGTTCCCAGCTGATTGGCTTCCACAGCCAGAGGTGTGGGTAACATTGCTGTAGTTCATACCTGAAGAACACCATTGAAATAATTAATGACAACAATATATAGAACCATGAATACTCAAAAAAAAAACTTTGCATAATTAAATGGTTCTTTGCATCATGAAAGGGTTCTTTAGATTGATGGAGAATGTGTTGTAGATGATTCTATTTAGAACTCTTTTTAAAAAGGGTTCTATATGGCATCACAAAGGGTTCCACTATAGTTACAAGCACGCTATTTTGATTATATACAGAGCCCTTTTTGCTAAAATTGTAGTACTAAAGCCTGTCTGATGTAAACATCTACAAAGTGCACCTATTTGGTAGATGTTTCTGTATAAAAGGCCAGTAAGTGGAGGCAGAATGTACCTTATAAACTGGCAACTAGTGTATGTATAATGTACTTTTCCCGGCAGCAACCGTGCCTGGCATGATTCTCAAAATGAAATAAAGCATCACAAAATGTATATAAGTAAGCACTGTCATGGAGTACATCAAAAAAATTAAGTATCACTGCACTGAGACTGGAATCTTCACCATACAGTCAGCCCCATAATTATAGCCCCATTATTAGGAACCTTGATAAAGATGGGTAAAAATATCTTTCAGTTGTGGTTAATTTCACAATGAAAATATGAGAAAAAATAATAATTGTCACTCCTAGAAACTCTTATGAACAAAACTTAACCAAAGCATGTTCCCATGTGTATTGTGTACTGGAGATATGCATACTTAAACTGGGGTATAAATCGAGGTGACATAGACATATGCAAAAAAAATTAGTTGAACATGCACTGACCTTGAACTTTAAAACCACGGGAGTTCAAATGTATTTTACCCCACACACAGTAAGGATGTTGTTTAAAGAGCCTAACATTTCTTCATGAATCACGTTAAAGATTTGGTAACATTTTATGGTCACCAAGTCTATAAAACTGCAAATAGATACCACCTCCATGCCAACAAACCTACTGGAAGACCACAAGAAGGTTTTTCTTTAATAAAAAAGTTCTATAAAAAGAAAGATGGTTACACAGAAAAGAATCTAATCCCCCTGTAAAGTATGGTGGATGTAATGCTTTGGGCTGTTTTTCCTAAAAAGGTCCTGAGAAACTTGTTGGATACACAGCATCATGGACTCCATTAAGTACCAGAAGATTTTAATGAAAATCTTGCTGCACCTGCCAAAAAGCTAAAACTGGGTCATGGTTAAATCTTGCAGCAGGACAATGATCCAAAAATATATCCAAATCCACAAAAAATGGTTCAATGAGCGCAGGATTAAGCTTTTGACATGGTAACCCCAGTCTAAACTAAAAACTAAACTAAATTCCATTGAAAACCCAGGGGATGAGCTGAAGAAGAAAAAAAAAACTCCCATGACACTGGAGGATCTGGAGAGATTCTGCATTCAGGAATGGTCTTAGAGTACTCGTCAGTCTCAGTATAGTACTGTAGGAGAAGACTCCTTGCTGTTCTGTAGGCAAAGGGAAATTGCAAGAACTACTAAATGCAGGTGTGACAATAATCATTTTTTGATTCAGACTTTTGTTTTCTTAGACTCAATTTCCTTAAATAAAAAGTTATTTTTTCTCATGATTTCAACATGACATTAACTACAGAGAAATTTTTTCATGACTTTTTTGCCCATCCTTACCAAGGGTGCCAATAGTTGTGGACTTGGCGGTACTTGGTTTATTTTTAGATGTTGAAGACAGCGCTGTTCTTTTGCACCTTAAAACTGCGCAGCGGAAGTGAAACTGTTCTCATTCAGCCATGTAGCGCCTGCTGAATGACGGATGAAAAACAAAGAAACAAAAGTCCAGTCCTGGCTTAATGCTGTATGTGTGTAATGTATACTACAAACAAAAACTAGCAAAGGATTTAATCTGCGCTCACAGTACATCTTACTCCTTGTATTTGTTCACATTTATTTACCTCTCAGTGCATGAAATGGGGAACTTTCTTACTAAGATTTCTCAGGGAAGGAAACTGGTGATCGATAAGGAAACAGAAACACACTGTCAAAGGCAAAGCTTACATCCTTATGACAGGCTTTATGTGAGGTTAAAGTTCTTGTACAGAAATTGAAGTAATATTATTTTTAAATTTGTCAGTTGGTTTATAGAGAAAATAGCTGTGGATTCCAATTAGAAACTTCTGAACCTCTGAATGTCACCAGAAATATCAGGCAGTTTGGCAGTGAAATTTTGCACATTTTGAGAAAACAATATGGTTACATGATTTGCATGATTGAAACTTTATTTTCTCTTTTGGAAAATGGCCAGTGGGATCTAAATCGGCCTTAACCCAGCATGCATAGTATGTAGGTCACCAAAAAAACATTACCCCCATGACCGGGTTTTAAATGTTTGCTGATCTATATTGGTAGATAACGTGTTTTAAATTGGAATTTGTTGATATCAGCAGAAAGTACTGGATTAAATATCAGAGAAAAAAGCCTGAAATGCCACACATTCATGTGTATGACATGTTAGCTTTAAATTTCTTTCTGTGGGGATGTAGAGTATTTGAGTAGTTTGAGCATGATGCCCTACTTTTAGATGCTAAGTGAATAGATTCAGTTCCAAATAGCTCATTTTAAAGCTTATTTTAAAAAAATGTAACAGTATTGGCTGAAATTTAAAGATTAATATTGGTATCCTCTCAGAAAAGAAGAAAGTAAAATTGTGCCTTGTCAACTAAAAATATTTTCCAGCAATGATATAATGATGATGTAATGCTCACAGTAACCTGTTTACAATAATCACTCCCAAGTCCTTTTACGATGCTCTGTTGAAGCAGATACGTGCATTATGTGAAAGCAAGCCTGCATACTTCCCTTAAACCATAGCGTCAGTATGATGAATTGTTGCAACTTGCCCCAAACTGAGCAGTGCCACAATGTGGGGAAGTCACATGGAACACTGTAAAGTTTTAAGTGCGGTATTGAACCAAACTGCCCACTCATTTCCTGTACAATCATAGCCAAACAAACAATGAAATAAAGACCTGTTTTAATGTTGTCTAAGGAGTGCTTCAAAGCCCTTGAACATTTTAATGACACACACAAATCATACTCGCTGGTCAGGGTTGCCACCTCAGCCCTGTAAAGTGACTGGATACTCAATCAGTGGTTGATTCTTTTCCTTCAGCAATGCTCATAATGCCTAATGTAGGTCTAATGTAAATAGATGTCAGTTCAGCTACACCATCTTAAAAATGGCTCTATAAGGGTTCTTTAGTGAAAGCACTGGTTATATAGAGAACCACCTCAAAGAACCATTTAAATGTGTAAATAGTTCTTTGCTTGGTTAAATGGTTCTTCTCTAAAGAACCTTTGAAAAATGTTCTGAATAGCACCAACATTCTGTTGTTAGAACATTCATAGAATATTTTTGTAACCCATTTTGCTAATAGTGTGGAACCTAATCTTCTCAGTTATCACATTGCAGTGCTTCATGCCTAAACAAGCCATAATACACCTTTCTGAAACAATTGTCCTGGTGTTGAGGTTAATCTGAACTAATTAAACATATTTGTTGTATACAAATGGTTTGATAGAAAAAATGGCAGTTCATAAGAAATGCTAACATAAGAAAATGCCTAGTTTTTTTCCTGGACGTACAACTAAAATCAAGGACGATCCTGGAAAATCCTGGATGAGTGGCAACCATAATGTATTAGCACAACATACAGTATCTTAGTACAGTATGAAGTATGAAGAAAGAAATGAATCAATCAATACAAGGTAGGTACTCAGTCTAAGCTTCTAGAATGGTAACGTGAATTGGCATCCTTGGGTTGCAAGCTATCTTTGGGATTAACTTATGCCAGCAGGCCAGTACTAAACTTTTCAGTCACTACTTGGGATGAACAATTCACCAACAAAGCGTCTTTTTTTTAATGCTTCTTTTTTGCATGATTCTCTCATTCTCTGTTCAAAAGCTTCAGCTGACAGTGAATCAAACCATAACTTTGAGGTAGTTTGATAGTTGATTCATTGAAATGGACGGTTCCAGAGAACTGATTAGCAAAGCTGAATCAAACTTCTCATCACTAAGCACTACAGCAGTTTCTTCTAAACTTGCTCCAAACAGGTTACACTGTGGTTCACCTCAGTTGTTTTTTTTTAACCAGTGAAAACCCCCTCACCTCCCCAAACATCATTTAGTGAAGCTACTTTCTCAGTGCAGCTTCAGTCGAGTGTGTCATATTGGCAATCCCAGGTGAATCATGACCTACGTCAACCATTAATCTCCTTTAAAATGATGCTTTGCAATGGTTTGATTTGTTTTGTCTCATACGCAAGATTTCGAGTAATGATTTAGACACATATATGTTTTTTTTGTTTTGTTTGTTTGTTTTTTTAATTTACCCCACATTCTTTAAAAAATAGTCTGGACTATGTTTTGTCATAGACTCCTTCAAGAACAGAGCACAGTGTTTTTAGCAGCTCATTTGTGTGCCTGTTTGCAAAGAGAACATTTTTTTTACGTTAGTGATTCAGTAAAGTCAGTACACTTCAAAGATTCAAAGGCCAAAAATATCAGGCTGTCCGAGCACTGCACACCAATACTGTCAGGTTAAGCTACAAAGCCTCGGATGCAACGTGAAGAAACACAACACTGAATACATGCAGCATGTTAACTGTGGTTGACTAGCGGAGCACTGATCTTAATGCGAGTGCTGTGTCAACATATAGACTAAAGCCACAAACACGAAAAACAGTACAGGAAATACATAAAAGGTCAGAAATAACTAAATGTCAGTTTTGGTTTCAGATCTTATGTGTCTGTGGCTTAAGAGATAGATAGATAGATAGATAGATAGATAGATAGATAGATTCCGTTCTTCTTCGTGCATGTAAAATTTATAGGCGTCATTTGTCACAGAGGTTGCATTTTCAGTTGACATAACATCTTTGCCAGGTGACGTTTTGACTTTAGATTGTGTCGTGACACTTTTTGTGATGGAATGACATAACCGTTGTTAGTGCTGATAATATAAGACTGCTGGGCGTTGGACATTTCCTGCTTCAATTTACTATTTGCAAGATTTGATCTATGTCATATCCCCAGCATTACATTGCTTATACACTAAGCCATAAAGGCAGTTGCCAGAAAAAATATCAATAGACAACACCTATCGAAATAAGCCTTTATAAATGTTTATGTAGGTTTACGTCAGTTGTCATGACACGTCACTTATGAGCGCTCCAGTAAAATGTTACCATAACATTTCACAATAAAATTATACATACAAATAATGAATACTAGTGAGTGAAAACAACTTTTGCAACCTTTAATTAATTAACACCTTGATTCTGTGTTTCATGTGAAATGTGAAAGGATCAAATGCACCAAGAGGTCTCTCAAACCATATTTACCCCCTATTCTCACAACACTACAAAGAACCAAAACTTCATCCTGACACAAGACAGCATATTACCATAAGAAATGATTCAATAATCTCAGAATGAAAAGTAAGCTTAGTCATCAGAAATCAGCACTAACCTTGAGAGCTGTGAGTCATTCAGGACTCCAGACGTTAAAGGTAAAGTTAATAGGTCAGAGTGATGAGGTTAAGAGATTGTCACTCTTGCCAGTTCTCTGAAAGAAAAATGTATCAGACAGGATGCAGAAGGACAGGATGGCTGCTGTGTCTTCTTTGTGGGTTGGACTCTTTGGTAGCAAACAGCACTGAACATGATGATGTTTGCATTGATGCTAACTTACAGGAACAGTCTCTGTGCTCTCTGTTATAGTTCTCCTTCCTCCTCCACAATCCCTGGTGTGAGGTTTTCTGTCCTACACAACAACATAAACACACTTGTTTCTCTCCACGCCAGCTGCTCTGCTATGTTTTCTGTCTTCACTTAGTTTTTAACTATTCCCAGTGGTGCTCCCTTTCTCTCTCTCTCTCTCTTACTCTCTCTCTCTCTCTCTCTCTCTCTCTCTCTCTCTCTCTCCTGTGGAGCTCAGTGGGAGCCTTTGCGGAGGAGGTTCACTACAAGCAGAATTAGAATGGGAAGTTGTGTCTGTCAGGCATGTTTAGCCTATTTCCTCCTCCCAGTGCACCATCTGACTACACTCTTAATTATAAGTCGTGTTCTATGGTATCATATTTGATTATGAAAGGTGAAGTGCTGGTGTCCTCCAAAAGGGCTTTTAACCCCTTAAATTCCAAGACTTATTACATACAAATAATATACAATTACTGAACAAAAAATGAAGAAAAAAGTCTATATTCATAGGCATAAACGAACAAATGTTTAAAAAATGAAACTGAAGTAGAAAAAAGTATTCACGCACCACAGATTGATACTATTAGTACTTTGTTGCAAAGCCACTGTTTACAATTACAGCTTTGAGATGTCTATGGTAAGAAGTAATTAGCTTTTTGCGGCATAGTGGTTCAATTTTGACCCATTCCTCTTGGCAAACCACCTTTATTTCCACTACGTTACAAGTATTCCCCTGTTGGAATCGCAATTCAAAAGCCGCCATAAATGTTCAATGGGATTCAAATCAGGAGATTGGCTAGGTCATCCAAGCACCTTCACCTTTTTGAGTTATTTTGGCTGTACATTTGGAGTCATTGTCACATTGTCACAGTACACCGCTCCATTCATGTTTTCTTTCGCTAATGTGTAATGCCCCATTACCATTTAGAGAGAAGCAGCCCTATATTGCAATGCTCCCACTTCTGTAATTCACTGTGGGTGTGGTGTGATGTTCTTTCTCCAAACATGACAAGCAAAATTATTTCCAAAGAGTTTTGTTTTTGCTTTGTCTGACCAGAGGACATTGTTCCAAAAAGTCAAAAGAAATTTCGGCCCAATCCCATTTCACCCCTTGCCCCTACTACTTAGCCCTTAGCCCTCCATTTTGCGCATTCATGCCTAGGGGTAGGGTGTCCCATAGGGTTAGAGTGAAGTGTTAGGTCTACATGGCCCTCCAAACATGGCCCTTTTTCAGAGGCACACTCCAAACAAAGTGTTATGAGAAAAAAAGAAAAACCGGCAAGACGGCTGCACAAGCGATCAAAGAAACCCACAAATGTGAGTATTTTCTCAAATAAAAAATTATAATAACCATTGTATTGTGTTAGTTTAGTGTTGTTTCAATGTATTATGCTCCTTTTTGTCATAAAAAGCATAAAAATTCGCTAATAATTTGCTGATGTCTCTGTAGCTAGCTAGCTAAATTTCCCATTCCACCTTAAATAGTCTAGTAGTACAAACACTTGAGGCACCAGAATGTAACTGCTGCTCTACATAACTGTCACATCCCCCCTCTTTGAAGGCATATGATGCCCTAAATTTAACTACAGACCAGCAGCGAGGTGGCTAAACTTTACCCTCCTCTGCTGTCACTGCAGATTTGCAGGGTCACCTACAGAGCACCGCTAGTAGCCTGTTAATAAAGTCATGGTCGTCTTTATTTGTGCGTTGTCCCATTTTGTAGGGGAAGATTTCAATCACTACCCCTTGTAAATCAGTACCAAAGGGCAAGGTGACACTTGAAAACAAGGGGTAGGGGTAAAATAAGAAATGGGATTCGGCCTTCATGTGTACATTTAAAGTGATTATGTACATGGAGGGATATTAAGTAACAAAAACAAAAGTGTCAAAAGGATACATGTTTCTCCTCACTGTGGCATTTTATGATCAGCTGTTTCATTGAGAGTCATCACAGTGGAGCGACTAGTTAGAATCAGTATTACATCAACAAGTGGACTCAACACTGTAAAGCAACACTGTTATATTGGATGAAATGAACAGTTATAACATTGAAAGAAAAGTTATAATGTTGGAATAGAACTATGAATGATGTATGTGACCTGCACTGAATTTTATTTTGCAAATATAGTGAACAATGATCAAGAACAGCCCTTGTTATAGGATTTCAGATCTAAGCCACTAGATGGCAATACTAGGCTTGAATTAATTTTAGAAGAACATGCAGGTCCACCTTTTCACTTAAAGAAACACCAGGGGGTGGGAGTTGGGGGTCTGACCCCAAATTAAGACATTAACCACTGTAAATACATAAAGATAAAAGATGTGTATTTATACACATAAATACACAGTAATTTTGATAGAAAACAGCGCACCGATGGCCACCTGGCTCGAGTGGCCCTGTACATTTACTGACTGCCTTACCAGCTTCTGGTGGTGCTCATGTTGGCATTATCCAGTAGAGGCTAATTTGTTCTTGTAGAATGTGTGTTCATAAGACAATGCACATTTCTACTTCTGACCAGAAGGTGCCACATCTTGGAAATCCATTGTTCTACATATAACTAGTCATTATAGACTTATCATGTCCTTATCATTGATGACTGGATAGCTTCCGTGTCCCACCTGAACAGATCCTCAGCCCAGTTCTCCTCCTCATTCTCAACTGATGTAGATGACAACGTAGAAGGCCACCATATCAAGTACACCACAATTCTAGGTGTGGGTAGAAATGTGAACTCTTTTAAGGATGTGTTTCTCTCGTAGCTAGGAGATTTTTAGAAATACACTTATCTCTCCCTGTTTGATGTAAATTAATATATCAACTAGAGCAGCAGCTCTCAAACTGGGGGATGCAGGGAGGCGATAAAGGGGCCATGGAAAATCTCAGAAGTTGTATCTACACTTAGTAATTTTTTAATTTTGTAAGTTGATTAAGCCTGATCATATCTAAAAAGTGGTGGTTGTTCAAAACTAATAGAAAATTATTAATATTAAAAAAAATTGTATAACAATTAACGGAAAAAAATATTAAAAACTTATGGTGGGGGTGCAGTGGCTCTTACTTTCCACAGTGAGGGCCTTACACTAAAAATGTTTGAGAACTGCTGAACTGCAACAGTAAGCCAGGAGTATGTGATATGACAAAAATATAAAATCACAATAAATGTCATTGTATTTTGTTTTTCTGAAGTTTGATAAGCAACAGTAATGCCACATTTAAAGAGTTAAATATATAAATAATTGTACTCTTCATAATGAAACATGTAGTGCTCTTTAAGCGCTTACAATATCCACAATATGCTCAGAAAAGCATATTGTGACATAACTTATCATGATAATAATAATGATATTGCCCTACAACATGCTACCTTCACTGTAAAAATAAAATACATCTATATTAAAAAAAATTCTGAACAATAATTACAATAAACAATTCTTAATTAACTGTAGGCCATAGTTGCCCAATGTAATGGTCAAAGATTATAATACATTGTTCAAACAGGGTTCAGCCAATTAGAGTTTAGAACTGAAACTATCCATTTTTATAAATAAAAAGTTGAAAACCAAAGGCTTGATAATCACAACTGGTCTGACATGCTCATAAAGCAGGAGTGACTCTCTTAAGCATGGCTAGTCCAGGATGGCCGTAGTCTTCATGCAAGTGTCATGTCAGATATTGTAGCACTTCCCTGTGTGAGAAAAAGAAGAATTTCCTGTCTATCATCACACTGAGGCTCTGAGAGGCACTTCACTTTTGCAAAGATGAGGAATGACCACTCAGTGGTCATCTTAATGCTCTGGCTGCTATCCATCTCACATGAAAACATCTCTAGACAACAGCTCTGTGTGTTTTCCCATGACTGTGATGACCCCAAGCTTTTCCTGTTTTAGAGCAGAATCTATGTACTCTGTACTCTGTACATAGATTCTTGTTCTTCTATCTCTCTCTCTCTCTCTCTCTCTCTCTCTCTCTCTCTCTCTCTCTCGCTAACATTTCCTTGAATGAAGAGATAATATTGGTGATATTTTACTGAAACTACACAGAGTTTTCTTTTTGATTGCTTTCCTTTCAAGGCCTTAGGACGACCATCTCTTATGCTCTTTAAAAAATACATTTAAATGTCTCTTTGCACACATTTGAACCAGGTGCAAGTAATTAATTCTCTGGATGAGCATTAGCATTAGAATAAATACAAATAAACAAATAAAAAAATCAATGATCAAATTGTTCTTTTGTGCCTCTTGTGTGTTAGCTTAGCCACTTCCAAACCATCCTTGAGGAATGTAAGTAATTTCTCCACTAAAAAATTACAATAACCATTGTATTGTGTTAGTTTAATGTTGTTTCAATGTATTATGGTCCTTCTTTTTCTTCATAACAAGCATAAACAATTTTCCTAATAATATGCTGATGTTCCAGTAGCTAGCTAGCTAAATTTCCCACTCCACCTTAAATAGTCCAGCAGTACTAACACCTGAGACACCAGAATGTAACTACTGCTCCACTTAAGGTGGAATGGGAAAATTCAAATGAGAAGCTGCCAAACAGCCGACTTCAGCTTCATATCACCAAAGAAATAGTTAAATGGTATAATAACTAGTTATATTAATTTCTGCATAGACAAGCTATTTCAAAATTTACACAAACAATAAACCATGGGCCTGTAAAAATTTAAGTATTATTTAAATTCAAAGGAAAATTAGTTTTTGTTGGGGCATCTTCAAATGGAATTAAAATAGGACATTGGGCATATGATCAAGAAAGCACAGATAGATAGACAGAAAGATAAGCTTGAGAGGGGGCTGAAGAGAAGCTTGGAAAGGACTGAACAAAACAGGTAGGAAACAGAAATCAGCCGCACAGCGTCATGAACCTTGTTCAAATTCTTTGTGTGGTTTGGTCTGGGGCCTTTAATACAGTTTAGTCACAGCTTCTTTCAAAGTGCTTGCGTAGCATGAATGTCAGTAGAACTTGAGTGAACAGCCCCAGCGAGTACGTGTAGAATCCACATCTTTTCTGATTACCTTGTCCTGAATACCAGTGTACCACAGGGCTGTGTTTTGTTCCCTTTGTTGTTCTCTATATATGCAAATTAACTGCACTGTTACAGTAGTGATCTCTGTCTTACTGCAGATGTTAGGGCTTTATTTCCTGAC